AGACTGAACAAAAAAGACTTCCTGCCTGTCAAGTGAGGTTACCTCTAAAGGGAGAATGCAAATACCTAATACTAGAATGGGTACCAAAAAAAAAAAAAAAAACATATTGTCTTTTATTTTTCTAATTAATTTTTAAACAGAAAATCACTTTCTAGTTAAATGATAGTTTTTTTAACATATAAGATATGCAACTATCATCCTTGCACTGAAATGCTTTCTACCAGAACAAAATTTTTTTCACTGAAATAACCTTTATCAACATTATGAAAAATTACTTCATGACTAACTTTTCAATTCATCATTTGGTACTTAAATAAATCCAAGGAGTACTTTTCTGTTGGTACGCACAAAATAATGATTTGCCAAGCTTCTCTCACATGTCTACATTTGATAGCTACAGTTGGTCGTCCAACATGATGCATTATTATAACAGAAGTGCAAAGACATTTCTCTTTTACTATTTATTTTATTTTGTGTGGATGTGGATGCGGCTGAGTGTATGTCTGCACACCAGTTGTGCAGCTGAGTGTATGTCTGCACACCAAGTGTGTACAGGCGCCTGTGGCGGTCAGAAGGCGTCCCCTAGAACAGGAGCTGCAGATGGTTGTGAGCTGTCAGGTGGGTTCTGTGGTCTTCTTCAAGAGCAGCAAAGTGCTCTTACCTACCTAGCCATCTCTCCAGTCCCAAGGATATTTCTTTTTTATTTTTCAGATTTTTATAAGAGAATTCTTAAGTAAACCACATAGGGATCAGTAAAATGCCTTCTATTAAAATAAAACATAGCCTGGCTGTGGTGGCTCCTGCCTGTTCTATTATCTCACCACCTAGAAGACAGAGACAGGAAGACTGTCATAAGCTCCAGGCCAGTCTGGGCTACAATGTGATACCCTGTCAAAAAAATATATGTGTCTGTGAATAATTTTAATGCAAAATCAATGGTCCTTAATTTTTAATAGTTTTATTTTTTTCGTGTGTGTGTGTGTGTGTGTGTGTGTGTGTGTGTGTGTGTGCCTGCATGTATGTATGTGTACCATGTGAATGCCTGGTGCTCTCAGACATCACTAGGGGGCATCTGATCCCATGGTGGTCCTCATTTCACTTGAGAATATGAAAAAAAGGGGTATTACAGAATCTCAAAAAGTACTTTTTGAAAGACTTTTATCTATTATTATCATCGCATGGGTATGTGTCTGTGCACAATGGAGTGACTGTGTTACAGCACACAACTGGAGGCCAGAGGACAACTCTGTATAATCTGTTCTCTCCTTCAACCTTTATGTGAATTCCAGGGATCCAGCTCAGATCCCCAAGGATGCTGAACAGACATCTTCACACTGAGCCAACTCATCAGCCCTTAAAAGGCACTTTAAGGCCAGGCGGTATTGACTCACAACTTTAATCCCAGCACTCAGGAGGAAGAAGCTGGTGAATCGCTGTGAGTTCCAGGCCAGCCTGGTCTACAGAGTGAGTTCCTGGACAGCCTGGGCCACACAGAGAAACCCCGTCTCAAAACAACAACAACAACAAAAAAAGTACTTAAAAAATGTAATCGATATTTTTTGTTTTAATTTTCAGAGAAAAAATGAGCTAATTGATGCTGCTTAACTTTGTGCTTATTTTCATTTAATGTCTGAGAATAATTTTGTTAGCATAAAGATACAAAAAAAAATAATTACATCAAGTACATAAAGTTAAAACTCAAAATTTGCAAACAATATACAGCCCTAAAGTCCTGGAAGTCCTGAGTATGGGCTCAAGTATTTATAAAAATGTGTTTTCAGTAACATCAGAGGTATGAATGAAATAAAGTTGAAAGCCATTTTGCCCACCATCAGTGACCATGGTTTTTTGTTTCTCTACTACTTTTCATGCTTTTTCTTATTTTCCTTCCAATACTTAGACGAGATGTATTGCCTGGTATAAATGGCTTCAACTAGAGTTAAGTTTTTGTGAATTTTCCTTTACAGATCAGGCACGCTGCTGGAAGAGCTCTGGTGTAAGCTGCTTCTCTTCCTGGCTACCCACAAAACTCTTGAGTCCTTTTCATCTGATTTCTGTATTTCCAAGATCTGAAGATTGGGCATTTTATCTCTGCTTTCCAACAGAGGTGGGCAGGCCTCTTCTCCCTTAGAACACTTGAACTTGCAGTAACTTTTACTTTAGTCATAGCCAAAGTCACCAAGTAAACTACCCCAGAGGAGAACGCTGTAAGAGTAGCTATCAATTACTGACTGTGAGGTAATTGTTCACTTGTGAACTAAAGTAGGAGCTAATTTTATCTAATTCATAAACAGTAACCGGGACTGGAGAGGTAGCTCAGCAGTTAAGAGCTCTGGCTGCTCTTCCAGAGGACCAGGGTTCGATTCCCGGCACCCACATGGCAGCTCACAACCATCTGTAATTTCAGTTCCAGAGGATCAGACAGCCTTTTAGACATGCATACAGGCAAAATGCCAACACACATAAGATAAATAAATAAAATTCAAATATACATATAGAGTAATTGACACCTGTAGGTCAAAACATGGGACTGGTAAGAGTGTTTTAAAAACCCAATTTTATATAGCATAGCATATATGTTCAATCAATATTTACTATTTACACAGAAGATGCTTTTGCAAACCTCATACCATTGGCAAACATACAAATGCTTAATTAAGTACATGCCACAGGTAGATAGGTTCTAAGGCACACTTTTTTTGTTTGTTTGTTTGTTTTTTGTTTTTTGTTTTTCGAGACAGGGTTCCTCTGTGTAGTTTTGGTGCCTGTCCTGGATCTCTCTCTCTGTAGACCAGGCTGGCCTCGAACTCACAGAGATCCGCCTCCCCAGTGCTGGGATTAAAGAGGTGCGCCACCGCCACCCAACTGAAGGCACACATTTTTAAGGAGGTACAGCAGTTGCAGATAGTGCAGTTAACTGCAGCAGACAACATCTGTGTTACACACAGAGACATCAAAATCAGCGTGGCATGCTTGTGTGACACCCAAAGAGGCCAAGCTTGTGGCGAAAATGATTACTTCCAACCCAAGTCTGCTTTAAATACTGTTCAGTTGCATGGCACCCAGCCAAAATTACACTGTGTGGGAGTTGTTGTTGCCTTTGAATCACTCACCAACTTTCAACCCATTTGTAAAACGAGGTAAATACTATGGATTGACTAAAAATAAGTACGGATCAGGATTTTTGACTCCCGTTTCTTTAAGCAACTTATTCTATTTGATCCCGAGTCTTGGCTGCCCTCCTGACAGAATAATCTACACAAGCCACAGCTGAAGGGGCATGACTTTCATGATTAAATGGGGGGCTCTTGCTGCAGATGACTCTAGACTCCAGATGTATTTATCCTTTGCACTTCAGAAAGATCCCTTCGCTGGCTTAGTATCAGATCATAACTTTACCGATCTCTGATTATTCCCACTCCCACACCAGGGACTCTGTACGCATCACCAAGAAGTGTCCTGTTTTGTTTTGTCTTTATTTTGGCCTATTTTGTTCACAAAATGTTCTGTCGTACCGTGCAGTGAGGTTTTGTTTCCCCCTGCTTTCTTAGCATGTGGGGTTTGTGTGTCTAAGTACATAGAAAAAGTTAAAAATATAAAGCAAACACTGTCCCTCCAAATACTGTTTTATCACTCTTGGGAAAAAAACAAAAGATGAGAATTTGATTGAATTTTGCTTATTATAATTGCTGAGGAACACGATCTCCCAAAACAAGGGGTTAAGTGTTTTAGCTTTAATTGGTCACTTTGGCCTTTCTTCTGCAAGAGGATTACACCCAGGAAATTCTAATTCTGTATGCCCAAACTGGCAACATCCATGAAGAGGCTTCTAGCCAGGAACAGATTTTCTGGTGGGCATAAAGGTAATCAGAACACACACACACACACACACACACACACACACACACACACGAGAGAGAGACAGAGAGAGAGAGAGAGAGAGAGAGAGAGAGAGAGAGAGAGAGAGAGAGAGAGAAATACCCAGGACCTACCTCATGCTGGTAACTTCTGAAATTACCAGACTAGGAGAGGGAATAGGGCATTGGGAACTCTATCCCCAGACCACAGCTCCGGGATGCGCCGGAGGTGGGGAAAGGGGGGGAAGGGGGGAGGGGAACTGGACGGACACACACAACATGCAGTCCACAGCTGCCTTAACTAAAATGCCTCGGTGGTTTAATACTGAAAGAGAAGGGTAAGCAAAATACACACACCGGATTCCTATCTCCTTGGTAGTTAAATTGCTGGAAAAAGCGAAACAAACGCGCAGGCGCATCCTCAGGTTGTCAGGTACAAAAAAAAAAAATGTACTCATAAAATTAAGGAAGTGGGTCGGGTGCAAGCTTGCTTTCTGTGGGCTTTCTAGATTAGAAGCAGCAATATATTTTTGATGACTACAAACAGGAGCAAACCGATCACGGATTTGCTTTGTGAGATGTTTACTTAAATGTGGAGATAAAACCAGCTCGCTAGTGGAAAGAAAATTGTTTTCGGGGCAAACGTAGCATTCCCCAGCTGCAAATCCGGGGAACGCAATCACAACGACCTGATTAATCTTTCAGCGAGTGAGTGCATTAGTTTACTACCCCCAAGAATACTATCAGGGAAAAGGGGGGTGGGTGAGGGCGGCTTCCACAAAGCCCAGAAGCACCCCTCCAGCACCAGGATGGGATGCAGCCTGTCCTTTCAATCCTGCGCCTGTCTGGGAGCTGCAAGGGGCCTAAGAGCTTTAGGGGGATCCCGGGAGTGGGCAGAGTCTGTCTCCGTCGCCGACCTCGAATTGCTGCTGGAAGCTGGGGCGCCGAAGACCCCTCGAGACAACAGTTACTTTTCTAAGCAACTCCAAGTTGGCGCAACCCCACAGACCCCCTTCTCTGACTGAGGCCGGGGACTGCTGCCCCGCCTTTCCACCGGCGACCGGGCTGAACCGGTGACAGTCTTGAGACAAAGCCGCGGACCCCCACGTCGCGGCCCCCGCCCCGCGCCCTGGCCGTGCCTACCTTGATGCCCTGCTGCTGGGTGGTGAGGGTGAGCTTGGACTCGTCCAGGAGCAAAACTTCGCAGTAAAATTCTTCCGGAACGGCGCAGAAACAGCCCATGTCGGCTGAAAGCGTCTCCAGCCAAGGCGAGAGCAGCGACCGCGGTGCCCGCCGCCGCCTCCTCCCCTCAAGCGCGAAGCATTAATTTATTGTGCGCGCCGTGTAGAGGGCGAGAGGCGCGGGTCTGGGTGGGGCCCAGGGTGGGGGCGAGCTCTGGGGTCCTGCGGTCGAGCCGAGGGCACCCCGAGAAGCTCGGAGAGCGGAGGCGGGAGGGCGAGCGCGCCCCGGAGCGTCAGGGGCCGGGAGCCACCCGGGAAGCGCCCGCGGAACTAGGCACCGGGAGCAGCGGGTCCCCGCGCATCCTGCGGCTGCGGCTCCTCTTCTGAAGACTGGGGCGGCGACCTGGGGACGACAAGAGTCGCCTGGCTAGGGACGGCCGGCCAGAGACACGAAGAGGGCGAGACGGGCGCTCCAGACCCTCCCTGGGTTCGGACGCCCCTCGGTACTCCGCAGCGCCAGCCCCACTGGAGCGATTCCCCTGCCGCAGCTCCCGAGTCCCCACCAGGCGCGCACAGCTAGCGCCGACCCCGCCCCACACCCCCCTGACAAGGTAGGCAGAACGGAGAGCGCTCAGCTTCTCTTTTGTGTCCGGGGGGGTGGCCACGACCCCCCCAGCCTGGGACGCAGGGCCAGCAGCGAAGGTCGCCACTCCCTCCCTCCGCCACTCTCACAGCCAGCCCGGGGACGTGGAGGGCCGGCCAGGGTTCCTCACCGAAACCAGCCGAGGGAGAGAGGGGGAGGTCAGCTGGTCGCGGGCCGCGGCTTCCGTCTGACGGTCCCCGAACTCATCCCGCGGAGATGGCCAAGTTCAAGCTCTCCTCTCCCGAACGCCCTGCCACGGGGACCGAACGCCGCTCCTGCCGAACGTCTTGAAAAGCCGGGCGTCGGAGGACCTGCGGGCGACCGGGAGCGACAGCACCGGGGCGCCAAGGCCGCCGAGGCTCCAGGGAAAGTTCTTGGCGGCGCGCGGGGCGGAGCCCTGGGCGGCAGCGACCCAGGTGCAGAGGGCCCCGGCCCCCCCGGGCGTCCGCAGAAAGCCACCGAGCCGCAGCAGGATCCCCGGGATCGCGACCCGAGCGCCCCCTCTGGGCGGGGTCTCGGCTAGGGGCGGAGGGCGGGGCGGAGGTGGTCGGTCTGGCCCGGTGCCTGCAGGTCCCAGCGAGAACGCGTGCGCTGCGCCCGAGCTGCGCGCGGCCGTGGCCAAGTCACTGCGTTCGTTTCCCTGGGAGACCTGGAGGTTGGCTCCAGGCCGGCAGGGCGCAGTTCTGCTCCGACCCACCCCTGCGTTCTGCGGTCTGGGTCCCACGCCCTCCTCGCGGCGGGCCGGGGCCAGGCACTGGTGGGCACAATAGCTCTGAGGCTGCAGTGACCCCTGGTGGGTCCCGGTGTCCGTGCACAGGCAGCACAAGCTGAGTGTGGAAGACACAGGACCCCCGCTGGCCCTGGGAGCAGGTGCAATCTGAGCTCTCTAGCTGGGAAGCAGCCGCGAATTAATGCGAATGGCAGTCAAAGGAGGCTAAGGGGGTGGGGGACACGCAGCGGGAGGTGGCCGCGCAGAACTGTTTCTGTATTGACTAGTAGAAAGACCTTAGCATCAGGTAGAAATTCCCTCTTCTACCACTTGTTAGCTTGAATAGTCAAAACTCAAAAACAAAACAAAACAAAAATGCTACCCAAGTAAAAACTTTGTTTCCGCAGCAACACTTTTAAAAAGAGTTTTGCAACAGTTGTCAGCAGTGATTTCCTTTGAAGGACTTCCGTGTGAAACCTCACTTTTCCCTGCCCGACTTCCAGTAAAACCCTCCTTTATCTTCCAACGTTTCTGGAAACTGAAGCAGGCTTTGCGATTCTGGTCAAATTCTGTATGCAACTTGGGGTTCTACTGTAAAAGTTTTATCCAACTTAAACCTCCGGGTTTTAGCAACTCATTGCACTGCTTTTCGGCAATACAACTTTCCTGTCGTTAATCGTCGAATGTGATTGTAAGATCTCTTATGGTTTTCTTTCTTTACCACGATGCAGCAGAACCACCTAAGCCTGCAAAAGTCAAAAAATAAAAGTCCTGAGTGTAACCTTTTGTGAGTTCGAAGCCACCTATCTGTTCTACGGTTCTTTGGTCTGGGTTGGGGGATTGAGGCAGTAATTCATGACATTACATACATACAGCAGCCTTTATTAAGTGAGACATTTTATTTTCTATCTCTTTATCGGAGATTGGAGATAAGAAAATTTTAAAAAAACCTGTTTTTAATACAAAACTGAAGCTTCCTGGAGATAAGAAAATTCCGCAAATTTTTAGCAGCATTACTGAGTATAACTGACACACCATAGCTACCTATATTTAAAGTATTTAACTTACATTTTGACATCTACACACCCATGCAACCATCACCATGATCAAGCTGATAGATATATCCATCATCTCTAGTTTACTTCAGCGTGCTTGGCTTCCCTCCCTCAAATACCTCACCGCACCTCTCCTCCCAGGCACCCACAGACCTGCTTTCTGTCACTATAGATTATCTAACACTTCCTCAAGTTTATATAACGGATTCACACAGCGTCAAATCTTTTTATTTTTATGGTCTGGTTTGCTTCGCTCGGTACAATTGTCCTGAGGTTTATCCATGTTGTGTAAATAGTCCATTCAATTTTATTGCTTGGTTGCCTTCCATTATACACACAATCACAACACACACAAACACTCACACATGTCTATGTGTGTGCATGTATGTACGTATTTTACCATTCATTTGGGTGTTTCAGACTTTAAACATTACAAATAAAGTAACTAAGCTGATTGTCTTTGTCTTGTCAGCTCTGACTGCCATAACACAGCATCATAGATTAAGTCGCTTACACAGTAGACGTTTTTCCTGGAAGCCCACGTTTGTTATGCCAGCAAGGTCGTTTCTAATAAGGCCCCTTCGTGACTTAAGGCAGCCTCCATCTTGCCGTGCGCTCTCTTTGTGTGTATGTGTTCATGGAAGCAAGCACCTTGGGCTTTATTCTAAGGCCACAAATCCTTCAGTGTCAGGCCATCGCTTACGATCTCATTTAACTTTAATTGTTTCCTTGGCTACCGCATCTCTAAATGCAGTCATTGGGTCAGTGCTTCACACAAAACACTTAAGAAACACAGTTTAGCCCAGGGTAAAAGTACGTATCTGTATATGGGCCATTGTGTGCATTTCTTTTTAAATATAGAATAGAATGACTGGATGAATAAGAAGATAAGCAAAGCCGGGCGGTGGTGGCGCACGCCTTTAATCCCAGCACTCGGGAGGCAGAGCCAGGCAGATCTCTGTGAGTTCGAAGCCAGCCTGGTCTACAGAGCAAGACCCAGGAAAGGCGCAAAGCTACACAGAGAAACCCTGTCTCGAAAAACCAAAAAAAAAAAAAAACAAGATAAGTAAGTAGCAGATAAGCCCATGGAAAGAAGTTCAACTCCATTAGTCACTGGTGGAGACTGCAACTTCAAGTCCCCAGAGGACACTGCTCACACCTAAGGGGAAGCTCACCTGCAGAGCTGCCCTGTGGAGTCTTAGTGACTGTGGAGTACTTTGTAGTCTCGCTGCCATTGTGCACAAAAGAAGATGCTGTTACATTGGATGACAGTTTGGCAGGTTCTTAAAACTTGACAAAAATTAACAAGATACAATGGAAAATTTTTATCAGAAAAATCTTTTTCAGTGTGTGCAGAGTATAGCAGCACGTCCTTTTTAACGCTCTCTAACAAACCTTTCATCTCTTTTCAGAAAATTTTTAAGTATAATATTTTTCTTTGGTTAAGATCCTATTTTGTCTCAACAAACCTGATGCAGATAAGTCAGATGACACACAAATTCAGAATAAATGGGATTCTGTAGAAATACATGGGCCGTTTATGAACAGTTCAAGAATCCTCATCCAGAAAGAAAATATTTCACTTTACAAAGACACCCTCTACCCTGGCTGAAATGTGCACTTCAAAATGTCAGGCACAGAATTACTTATTAGGTGGTCTGGTGTGGGGGGGGGGGGCACCAGAAGAGAGTATTGAATCCCCTGGAGCTAGAGTTACCATCAACTATGAGCAGTCCAGTGTGAGTGTTGGGAACTAACTCTGGTCCTCTACAAAAGCAGAAAGGACTCTTAATGGCTGAGCCATCTCTCCAGACTGCAGAATTCTTTTTAAAGCACTGTATTCTCATTAGAGAGATGTATTTAAATGACCCAAATCATCTCTCACCTTTTTATAACTTTACATTTTCCAAACTTCTGAAATGTAATGATAACTTGAAAAAAGAAAACTTGAAAATATTGATGATAAACTCATAAATAATTTCATTACTTAAATGTGAGTGGGTAAGATGGCAAAATCACCATGAAGACTTGGTAACCCACAGATTCCAGGCCTAAACCCCAGAGTTCTTAAGTAGTTCTGGAGCCTTGAGAATTTCCATTTCCAGCAAATTCTACCAGTGATACAAGGACATTTTGCAAACCACTAGAGGTTATCTTCCCCCAAAATAGTAGAAGTTGTTGCTGATTACCTACAAATAATTTGGAGGATGATTCATTCTTCACTGGTAGCCTCTCTGTTAATCTACCTCATGCATCAAGTCAATGCCTGTCAAAGAAAATTATTGAAGACCTTGTCAAGTTGGTCCCAGCAGAAAGAATAGCTTTTAAGGAAAGGAAATATCCTTGCTTGGGTTTTGTAATACTATTGCCTAGGATACTTGGACAACATACTCATTTTTCTTTCTAGTATAGAATGTGCCCAGGCACATTCACCTTTTAAGGCTGTCTTGCCTTCTGACTCAATTCATGGCTATGCCATTAACCAGTTTTCCTCCCTTCTGAGTACTGAAGTCCAAGATGGCATTTATTGAAATGCCTCAAGGCCGTTGCCTACCTTGCAAGGAAACTCACTTCCCAAGATTGCCCTGCCATGAAAGCTGTTTCTTACTCCTTGTGCTCTCCAAATCAAGGCTCTTCGGGTTTACTGAGAGTTCTTAGGCAATTTTAAAGCAAAGTCTTTGTTGTTTAATGCATTGAGATGACTTGTACTTAGTATAAATGGTTTAGAAGTTTGAAACACCCTACCCTCCCTTCACCGCTCAAACGCAGGCTACTTGAGAAGTCTTATCCTGTTAGGATCTTGGGATTTTTGGTTGTTGGTTGTTTGTTTTCAGTTTTCTAAACAGCAGATTCTTATCTTTTGCCTGTTTAATTGAGAGAGATTCCAGAGATTGTCAACGTGGGATAAAAGAGAGAAAGGGGATGAGGGCTCAGTCAGCGAAGTGCCCGCTGCACAAGTATATGACCTGAGTTCAGATCCTTAGCACCCACATAAAAAATAAAAACCTATCGACCATAATCGCATGCAACCATATCACAAAGGGGGAAGAAACTGGGAGATCCCTGGAGCTCCCTGGCCCGCCAATCTAGCCTGAATGCCAGGTTCAGTGAGAAACTATCTCAAAAGACAAGGTGGGAAGCAATTGAAGATGGCCCACATCAACCTCTGGCCTCCACACACGTGCATACACACACACACACACACACACACACACTGCCCACATACACACAAGTATAGTAAAATAGTATTTGGGTAGATTGTTGGAAGAACTAGAAAGTGACTTGAGGTTTTTGGAATGCAACTTGTCATAAATATATTATTTTAAATATGCATGCACTTTGATCCAAACATTCAGCATCTAGGAATTTAAATCAAAGCATAACCACAGATAGATGTGAAAAGATATTTACTATATCATTCATAATATTAAATTTTTTGAACAGTCAAAATGTCCAATAATAGGAAAGTGTTAAGTTGATCATGGTGTATACATATGATAGTATACAAAAAATTAAATACCTGTATAATATACTGACATGGAAAATTATCAAAGGTTTAAAAAAAAAGAGGACCTCGCATAATTATGCAAAATTGGAAGGGTCTGGTTTTGGTTTGAGTTTTCTTTTTTTACATTTTAATTTTTTTTTATTTATTGTGTTCTGCAAACAGGGCACATACAGAAGTCAGAGGACAACTTTTGGGAGTTGGTTCTCTCCTTGCACAGTGTGGATCCCAGGACTCAAACTCCGTTCCTCGGGCTTAACTGCAAGTACCTTTGCCCACTGAGCCATTTCGTTTCTGGTTTTTTTTTTTTTTTTTTTTTTTTTTTTGGTTTTTTGAGACAGGGTTTCTCTGTGTAGCTTTGCGCCTTTCCTGGAACTCGCTTTGTAGACCAGGCTGGCCTCGAACTCACAGAGATCCGCCTGGCTCTGCCTCCCGAGTGCTGGGATTAAAGGCGTGCGCCACCACCGCCCGGCTCGTTTCTGTTTTTTTGATACAAACATGCTTTATTGGTTGCAATAGTAAATGAAAAAGAGAAAAGAAAATATCAGATTTTGATCCTGGGATCTGCAGACCCAGGCACTACCCTCTCTTGTTTTTCAAAGGAAATTTAAGGTTTTTTTCAATGCCCATTGAAAATTTTAAACCAAAAAAAATGGATTCTTATATTAAAACATGAACTCTGTCAAACTATTCCTTAATGAAACTGGACGTCATTAGAATGGGACCCTTTTTCTAAGTCCTAACCTAGGTTGTAATGTATTGACTATGTTCTGGGTTTCTCCCTGAATAGCGTACATCAGTATAATGACAGCTGAGTCATGTGAGTGTTAGTCCTTCTGTAAAACCTTGGAGGAAACAATAGAAAAATGAAACCTATTTGGTTATCTCGTCACTGTTTTTATTTTGAGTGAGGTTATATAACCTTGAAGATGTCCCATCATCTCTTGGTACCTCAGCCTGTCCATCGATCAGGTAAGGGCTTTGGGATATGTGTTACGGTTACTCTAGAGTATGTTCAACATGCTGAACTCCATGATTATCTACATTACTATTCTTTAAAGGCAATGGCCCCAGGAAGAAACAGCCCAGTATATCAGCTAGCAAAGAAACACCTAGGTCCCATCAATCGTTTACTTACTGTTCTTTCATTTACCACTCAGAAAGAGAAAAACACTTCCAGTTAATTAAAGACGTCAATTATGGGATGTACCCTAAATTTGAAAATGTTAAAATGTTGGGAAAATGTGTTGTTATCTGGATAA